TAAATGTAGGGCAGTTTTTGTGAACTTATTAAAATGATTTTAAAATTTATATATGCTAATCATTTATTTTTGGTTCAGTTTAATTTTTACAAGATATTAATGAAGTGCATATTATAAATGAAATTAAATTTATAAATATCTCTTTTTTAATTCTGAAATCATTGCTATTTAAAAAAATTGTTCTCTTTTTATAGATTTAAGATTAAAGATAAAGTCATATTTGATAAGCATTTTACCCTTAATAAAATAGAAAAAAAAATCAATATGTTCATATTGCAAAGTAAAAATGTCTGGTAATCACTTGTCAAATTTAGAAAGACACCTGGAAAGAAATCACAACAATGAATATTTAAATTATTTAAATGAAAAAACCAAACATCAGGAAATGTTATTGGCAAAAAAACCTAAAATTAATATAGAAACCTTTTTCCCAAAAAAGCATATAAGTATAAATATATCATCTAATGATTTGATGAGTTCTATACTAGAACTAGTTACTGTAAATGGCCGGCCTTTATCAATTATTGAAGATTCGGGATTTCAAAGAATTATAAATCCACTCCTATCTGGGCGCAATTTAGTTATAAACAAAGAAAATTTATCCAGAACTATTAATAAAACAGCCCAATCAATTAGAGACAAAATATCGAGAGAGGTAGAAGGAAAATTAATAAGTTTAAAAGTTGATGCAGTTCAACGACTAGATAGGTCAATTCTTGGTGTAAATATTCAATTTATATCAAAGTCCATTATAAATTTGAGGACTCTTGGAATTGTAGAGCTGAAAGAGAGATGTACAGGAGAATATATAAAAGAGAATATATTAAAAACTTTACTAAAATATAAAATTAATATTCAACAAATATACACAATTACTTCTGATAATGGTTGTAATTTTTTAAGAGCTATAAAGCTCCTGCAACCTGAAACTGATTATGATATAAGGAGTGAATCAGCAGATGAGGAAAATATGGATGTAAATGTATATAAATATGATATTGATGATATACAAAATACTTTTTTATCAACTATTATATCCTATCCGATTTATAGTGTACAGTGTGCACACACTTCAGCTGGCACTTCAAGATGCTATAAAATTATCACCTATTGTGGAAACCATTGCAAAAGCTAGGAGCCTAAATTTAAAATTAAGACATCCCACTTACCAAAAGTTATTAAAAAATATGAAACTCCCTAAGCCTGTGTTAGATTGCCACAGATGGCATTCAACCCATGATATGTTAGAAAGGCTGATTTTACTAAAACCCAATATCGAAGATTTTTTTACAGAGCAATCTGATTATTTATTGACTGAAGATTGGAAAGAGATAATAACGATTGTTGAAATTTTAAAACCGCTAAAAATCGCAACCAAACAATTCCAATCTGAACAGTTAACACTGACAGATTTTTATGCAGCATGGTTAAGATGCTGCATCGAACTGGAAAAAAATCCAAACCATTTTGCTCAATTACTATATTCTTGTCTTAAGAACAGAGAAGAAAGGTTTATAAAGAACGAAATTCTCTTAGCTGCCATATACCTGGGCCCAAGATACAAGGTTAATTAAAAGCTTAGTAAATTAATTATTTTAGATTTATATTAAAATTGTTATTTTATGAAATATTTAAATATAAACAATATAAATCCTTAAATATTACAGGTATTACTTAGTGATGATGATAAGATTTGTGCGAAAAAACATCTTGTCAATTTTTGGAGACGAATTAAAAGCTTAACAACGCCAATTTTATCTGATGATATTAGTTCCGATGAAGTTATTGAACAAGAAGATGATTTAGAGAAATTGATACAACTTAAAGAAAGGCAGGAGAAAATACTTAAAAGAGGGCCAACGATTGCTGAGAAAAGTATTGGAACAATAATTACTGGATTTAGCGATTATATAAGATTAGATAAGAAGGAAAATATTTTGCATTTTTGGGAGTCTGCTAAGCTGGAACACCCTGTATTATATATTTTATCTAAAATCTTATTTGCTGTTCCTGCAACCCAAGTTAATTTTTCATATTTTCACATATAAATACATTTAACATAAGTTAGCGTTGAAAGATCTTTTTCACTGAAATTCATTCTTTCACCACATAGATCGAGGATGAGTGAACAACTCTTGGAAGATATTATACTAATACGTCTATATAAAATTTTTAAAATTGATACATGACTATATGCTTTGTATTTTTAACTATATTTGCCTATAAATAAAATAAAAAATTTATTTTTTATATCAAATTTATGTCTAGTTTTTTATTATGATTTAAATATAGAATTTTTTTTATCAACTCAAAAATTTTTGAACCCGAACCGAACCCGAACCAAACCCGGGTTCAAAAATATTTCCCTGAACCGAACCCGAACCGAACCCAACTTTTTTTTTATACCCCGAACCGAACCCGAACCGAACCCGGTCTAAAATTTTGTCGGGTTCGCATCCCTGGTTTTAACCATGGTAGGCTGAGTAGGTAGAGGACCTAAAATAAAAAGACACACTGCATTCGACCAAGTCGATTTAAATCTTTCCTTTATTTTAGAAGTTAATCCAAAACTATATACTGGGTAGTCAATATTTATTATTAACTTAATTAGGTTATTAGAAAATAAATATTATTCAAAAATCAACAGGTAAAAATAGGAAAAATGAAAAATGTACTTATTTACAAACAATTCCGTCCTTTATAGGTTTTTTTTATCGATTTATGTTCTAATATATTTTGGACAACATCAAAAACCTGACTGGATTGGTATGTGTTCTTTTTAACAACCAATCCGGTGTCTTAAAATTAGCGCAACTCCTTTAGTTACTAACAAATATCAATGTGGTAATAAAGTGGTTATATACAATAACAGCCTTTGTTCTATAAAAATGAGAATAAATACTTGTTTATCATTTTTAAATTTTGTAAGGCTAGTTTATTTTGACATAGAAAGAGAGGGTAATTAAAATTTAATAATTAATTATGATAAGCAAAAAAAGGGGTAATTAAAATTACCTAATCAAGTTCAAATAATAGTGTTGCATGTGCGCATGTGCGCTATTATATTATTACTTACTTAAATAATTTGTATTTAAAATGTCATTTAAACTATTATATATTTAAATACTTAAATAATTTATATTTAAAAGTTCAGTTATATATCTTAAAGCAACAAAATATATATATAAATAAATATATATTTTCATTCACCAATCACTTGTTTTTCTCATATATAATAACTTGAATTGTTTTCTTTTTAAATTATATAAATAAAATACCAATTTACTATAACAACCATTCTAGATTAAATATTCAAGCCTTATAAATTCTCTTTCATTAGCCTATATTACATCCTGTGCGACCATTCTAATAACCATTCTACTTTAAATATTCAAGCCTTATAATTATCATTCTCATTAAATAGAATAGTAGATAAAAAATTATTCTACAGATAATATATTGTACTTATTCGTATTCGATTCGATTTTCAAATTGAATAATTTTGTTGTAAAATATGAATGGGATAAAGTCGAGATCGAATAATTCGTTTTAAGTAGTGTTGCATTTGAGTCGATTTTTAAAAACAGTTAATTCAATATTTTAGCCAATTAAATATTGCCTAAGCCTCGAGATTTCACTAATAGATATCCAAACTTTTGTGTCATATATGACCAAAATTTTTAGGCTTGCGTAATAAATTTCTGGATAAAATGAGTTAGCCTTTAAAAATCATCTCAAATCGAGACTTTTAACAACACTGGTTTTCGGTATAATACTTGCCTATGTATGTTGACTAATTTTAATGCCGCAATTATTAGAAGACCCTTGGACCGCGTACGCCACTAAATAAAGAGCATTAAGGTTTAAATATTAATAAGATTCTATCAACCACTGGTGTAAAATTAAAATAACCAATAATCATTAAAATCCAAGGAGCCCTAGTCAACAAATTTATTTTTGAAAATTAAGAAAATATTTTATTTTATAAAAAACGTCTTTCTTGATTAACTCAATTGTTTTGTCTTTACAGAAGGGCCATAACTACGGGTGAGGGGACCTACATTTTTAGCCCCCCAAAAAAAGATTAAAATTTTGCGTTTTTCAAAAACCATTTTCATATATATACTAATATAAATTACCATAATATTAAATAAATTATCATTTATATTACATAAATTATCATTAAATATTACATAAATTATGCTTTATCACATAAATTAGAATATCTTTAAAAAATAAATTTGTTATAAATAATAATAGGGCATTCCTTCTTATAGAATAATACCTAATTTAGTCATTTACTAATTATTTATATTTTGCTTATGATATATTAAATATTTTTTATTTAGTAAAATCATATTTTAATCTGCTTATTCACCATAAAAATGATAAAAAAATGATCGAAATATGCAATTTCGGGCCGATCGTTGCCTGACAAAATTACATAAAATATATGTACCTTCCCTTCCCTAGAAAAACTTCTACTTACAATTTAAACAACTAAAGATATCTATTGCATAAAATTTTCAGAGTATAATAGTGCGCACAAATTGAGCGTTTCAAATACAGCGTTTCAAGCGTAAATAATGCATTTCAAATGACCTCGTGTAAATTGGTAAAATTACAGTTTGGCGTTAGCAACCATTTTAAAAAACGCAAATAGGTTTGCTTTTTCACTACTTTTTATTATTATTCGCTGTGTAATATTATATAAAATAAATATCTTACTTATATCCTAAAAAGAAATATTTAGAAATTAAAGAAATAAGAACGCAGACGATAATATAATTTTCAAAAGGCAAAACCTTTATTTTAAGAACTTATTTAAAATGGTTTGCAACGCAGCGTTTGAAACACTCAATTTGTGCACACTATAAACCAAACGGATAAAAAAATTTAAATTTATTTAAAATATTTTTAAAATAGGAAATAATATTTACTTATAACCCCTATAAAAATAAACCAGTTGACTAATAATATAAGAAAAGGTTTAAGTTTACCTTTTAGCGTTGAGGAAATGGACGATATTGCTGGTTTGAACCGGAAATATTTTATTTAGACAATAAAGAATGATTTATGTGCATTTGATTTTATTTTTAAGCGTTAAAAAATTTATTCCATAAATTTAAATTACAAGAATAAATATTTTAAAAAAAATATATTACAAATTTTTTATGATATTAACTCAAAAAAATATATACTGGATTTTCGATAGAAAAAAAAATACAATAAAATTTTATCAATTTCAATCGATCACATATGTTTTTTTTAAATGAATATTATATATTTGATATCTTACTAATTAAATTATTAACTTAAAAATAAGGAACCTCACAAAATATTATAATTTTATCTGAAAATTAAATACATTGTTGAGAATGAGAATGTTAATTTTTTTTAAAGTAAAGCGCTATTTTATCTAGTTATTAGTGTTTGGGTCGATTTTAAAAAACGGCCATATTAAGATTTTAACCAAAATGATATAATGCAAACCTCAAGATTTGACGAATAGAGGTTCAAACCTATCTGCCATCTATGAATAAAATCTCCAGGCTTAACTAATATTATTTTTGGCTAAAATCTTAACCGGGCCATTATTAAAAATCGGCGCATATTGGTCCACATAACAAAACTACTAGTTACTTTTCAAGAAAAAATATATAAGTTTTTCTTACCAATTTATGTGTTACTTCTTTTCGTTACTTGGAAAAGAAACGTGTTTCCGTTACTCGTTATTTTACAAAATACTAAAAGAGGTAAACGTCTTACTTTTTTGGTTATTTTATAGGAAAGAAACACTACGGTTTTAACCTTACTTTATCAGGAAGAAATGAGTTGTATTACTTGTTATTTTCAAACACTAACGCGTTAGTCAAATAATTTTTAATATATGAAATATTTATTGTTATTTTAGTTTAATTTATATGTCGTAACGGGATATGCAATCTCAGCATGAAGATTCGAAATCTCGAATCTCCACCATTTTTTTTTCACAATCTCTTATAAACCATGAGTATTTTGAAATAATTAACAAGAAGATTTATATTGCTCATTTATTATCGTTTGATTGAATCAGAATATCTCAAAAATATATAGAGCCTGTCGGGAAATCTAAAGGGTATAAATTTGTTGCTTATAATTGTCAATGGGTTTTAAGTTAAGTTGTATTGAATTCATTATTTGATGTAGTTTTATTTAATTTTTATCTATAATTTTTCCATGCAGAATTCCCCACCATTTTAAGGAAGTCGGTGAAGATTTGTTAAATTATCATTTAAAGTAAGGATATTTATCTTAAAATATTGAATATTTGATCTTGAAAATTTTTTTTAATTGTTAAATTTTTTTTTAAACAAAGTATATTATTTATATGTGGACTTCTAAGATTGTAAGATAATTATTTTAGATTATATTATAAAATTATTTTTAAATATATTATCAAACATACAAAAAATTAGATTATCGTTATTAAATTTTAAGAATTATGCAAAGCTCCTTGCGACAAAATAAATCCTAGCTTTATATAAAACAAATATTTTGTCTAAATAATAATTTTTAAAATTATAATCTAAAAAATAAATTTAAGAAAAATTATTTAATATTATAGAGTTTATTTATATCATCTATATCTAAAAATCATTTGTAAAAATTTTAACTGACATAATTTAATTAATAATCAAATAAATCAGGTAATGAACCCGAACCCGGACGCTGAACTCTCCTGAACCCTCGTATTTTAGCTGTACCCGAACCTGGATCCGGACCTTTTTTAAAACTGGAGGGTTCAAGAGTTATAGGTGCCATTATTTTAAAAATACTATAAAAAATTTTTAATTTTATTTACTTTTTTTGTCGAAATCATTTATTTCGTCTTCGCGGTTTTCTTTCAATTTTCTTCCTGGACTTTCATTTTATTTAGAGATTGATATCATAAATTATTTTCTAGTGTAAGTAATAATATTTTATTATGTAAATTTATATTGGCTATTTATGATTGCCTAAAAAATAATCACTTTAAAACTATAATTGATAAAGCAAGGGATATTGCAAAATATTTAAGAACTCCTACAATTGTAAGAATATTAAAATCAATGAAAAGGTCAATGGCAATACAATTTGCACAACACATTGGTCCACAATTTGTATGATGCTAGAAGGATTTTTAAGTTTGAACGATTTCTGTAATGATTTTATTATAGAAGCATGTGAAGTTATTTTGTCGGAAGATGATTGATGCCAAATAAAGGAACTTACTAGTGTATTAGTTCCTTTGAAAATAACAACATTACAATCAGAACAATTATGTTTATTTAATTTTTATGGCATATGGATTAGATACTGATTAATATTAGAAAACATGAAAATTTGAGAGCAACAATGTTTGCAAAATAGGTTGTATACGCTTCTATATATTTAGACCCTCGATATCAAGTTTTATTGAGTATTGAGCAAAAACAAATGGCTAAAGACCATCTTAAGGATTTATGGCATACGCAAACTCCGTTATTTACAATATATTGGAGGTTAGGACAATACCTACTGGTTGTAGTGATAATAATGATAATGATGGCAACGTTGATAATGTTGAAATTTTATTTAGATAGAGGAAAAAATCAAATTATTTTCGAATAGAAAGGAGGATCAAAAAAATGCTTATTGCACTTTAATAGAGACGTTCTCAGAAGTTAAGAGAATAAAAAGGATGCAAATATTTTAAAATTCTGGATAGAAAATCCTTCAATATATCCAGAATTATATATCTTGTATAGAATCTTTATGGCTGTATTGGCGACACAAGTGATAATTTATGTATTATAAAAATAACTATCTATTTTAGGTAAGAAATTTTCATCTTTGAAATATATATTTTCTAATTTATATGGAAATCTCAAGGATGATATTTTAGAAGATATGATTGTGCGATCGAATAAAACATTTAAAATATAAATTATTTCATTTTTAAATTTTTTTATATGTAAATTATGAATGTGTATATATTGAAGTATAAGAAAAGGTTTTGTTTTAAGTCATTTTTTTATGTCCCCTGAACCCGGACCTGGACCCTTTTTTGTTGTCGAAAGGTTCACCCTGAAATAAATAGCTTTTTTGGCTGCAAAGTGTATTTAAAAAACATTTTAATAAAATTTGAGTGTAAACTTGATAAAATTTTGGTTATTCATGTTAAAAAACCTTTTAGGCTATTTTGAAATCGATGGGGTCGATTTTCTTTACTCCACTAGGGAAAAATGTCAAAATTGTTAAACAACTTTGATTTGGAGTTAATAAAAAGATCTTTGCTTAAAAATTTTTCCTCTTTGGAAAAAGAGAATTTGCGTTATTCCTTTCATATCCTCTACCACTAAACACTGGTCATAATACAGATGGTTTCTCGTGAATTAAAAAATTAGCACTAACAATTTTCAACTAATCAAACAAATTTAATAAAATATCTTCACATCTTAAAAGCGCTCTAGCGCCACCTTGCGTTAAAATTTTTATAGTCAAATATAATATAAATGTCATTTTTCATATTTTAATTTTATTTATTCTTATTTTAGATATGATAATTTAAAATCCTTTTTAAAATAAAATTTTGTTATAAATGCTATAATCTCATAGTATTTAACAGATTCCGTAAAAAGGGCAGATTTGAGTAATATAAATATATATATTTAGAATTCAATAATTCAACTTGATTCTGGAATATTCGGAAAAAAATGAGAGTATATATTCAAAATTTAACTTTACTTTACAGCACTTATTTATGATAAAACTTAATACCGCCCCCCCTTCCTCAATTTATATGCTTTTTGCTGCTAGCTTATTAAATTTTTGGTTCCTAAAGTTTAAAGGCATAATTTTACATTATTAATATTCAACAGATTTGAAAAATTATCCTGATTTATTAATAAATTTCCCCCTTATGTTTGTTACAAATTTAATGTCTAAATTTTAAAAAATTAAATAAAATTCTGTTAATTATTATTTTTATGTTAGTTATACATATTATAAGTACAAATTGAATTAAAACTATAATATTAATATTACATATATTATAATATTTTTAAAAAAATATTGATAAATGAGATCTTCAAACTGTAGTATTGCATTTATTTTCGCTAAAAAAAATTGCTTATAATCCGGAAATAATATAAGTATAATCCTCTAATAAATTTATATTTAGTTGAGGTATTATATAATAAAATTTTTAAAAATTCAAATCTATATCAATTTTTATGATCTAGAAACTTTACAATATTAAATTTATATTTACTAACTAATAATCATGTTATAAATCCTGTTTAAATTATTAATTATAAGTATTATTTTTCAAAGATCAAAATTTTAAGCCCTGCTCGGAATTTATCGTTTTTTAAATTTTCAAACCCGAACCTGCCCGAATTTTTAAATTATCCTACATCACTTTTGCCTTTTTAAATTAAAATTTTATTTTTATAAAAAAACCTATAGAAAAAAATCTATCTTTTTAAAATATATAGTTTATATCGGAATACTATCTAATCCAAAACCTTTAACAAACAAAGAAAGAAATCTATTGCCTTTTCATTCTCAATCCTTTTCATTTGTATATTTTATTCCCCTCATAAATTTATATCACATGTTTTCGAGTATAGCCGCTTTTTAAATAAAATGACCAAATCAAAATTTTAGCCAAAAAAATCTCGAATTTAATGTTTGGCTGAAATCTTGATTTTAGCAGTTTTTAAGGGTCTAAATCGAGGTTTTCAACAATATTACTTTGAACACATAAATCCTAAATCTCATATTCTGCGGTATCTTAATCATACCTAGACCATGATTCTTCGGAAATGAGTTCCGAAACGGCCTATTATTATATACTCTACCAATAGTAAAAATTAAACAATTAGCATTTTTTTGTACAGGATGTTGTTGGCATCCAAAAATACTAAGCTTTTATTGATAAGATGACCGATGTGTTCAGACCGGATTTTTTTTTATACCTGATCTGGCCTGGATTTTATAAATTTTGTTCATTTTTAGCTGAGCCCCCCTCCCCTCTCCCATTTTGTATCCCGACCCGGATATTTCAAAACATATTATTTTAAGACCGATTTAAACAGGGCATGTAGGTTTCTATTATACATATACTTATAAGCTATAAATTTAT